GTGCAACATTCCAACACAACTGCTCCAAGTCAGCAACCTGCTCTGGCCATAGCTCACGCGCAAGCCCATGGGCAATCGGCGCGCGATCCTCCTTTTCTGCTCTCCTCAGGGTTTTTTCTGAAGGGTCCCCTGAAGGGTCCCCTTAAATCATCACCCACCAAAGGGAATCTCTCAGAATGGCGTTCGCCGGAAAATTTGGGACATCTCAGTAGTCGCTGGACCACAGGTGCTGGAGCCGCAGCGCAGCTCCCGGCCGGTGTCGCTTTGCGCCGGCCTGAAGGCAAGTGGAGCGGGGTCACAATGCCACAATCCCACCCACACAAACCGCATCCTGCTGGATGCAAATTTTAAGTACCCACGCCCTTCTAGCCGAAGCAAAAGAATGTTGTGAGGCAGTTTGGTGCAACAAGCACACGGGCTTCAAGAAGTGCGGGTACCCCGCAAAGCACAGCGCTGCTGAGAAAGAACTACATCAAATAAAACTCAGCAATTGCCACCCACTGATGATTCAGCCCTTGACCCATCACATCGAGTGGTACCAGGATACCTGGAAGCCCTGCCTGTGCCAAAAAGCGAGCAACCTCGAAGCGCCCAAAGTAGGCTGCAGCGAAGAGAGGCGTGACGCCCTCAGCGGCCTCGTCCTTTTCAGCCCCAGAGCCCACCAGGAGGCTCACCACCTGCTGACGAAGAGGCGCAAGGCTATTAGGCGAACCCCAACGCAACACGAAGTTTTGCCCAGACCACATCACATCAGACGCGCCTGCAAGTGGCCTCTCTTTGCGGCCAGGAAAAGCGGGGTGGCGCCGGTCTTCGCCGCAGTGTTGATGGAGGCTTTGGCTTCGATCAGCACTTGCACTGACTCGAGATGTCCGTTCTCAGCCGCAACGTGCCTCAGTGCAGAACAATCCGAAACTGCCTGAGGACCTGCCAAGCCACAACCCACACACATGCAAACGGAAGTCGTGTCGATGTGAAGACTTTTTGCTGCGACGGATATCACAAGCGCCGCAACCAAATACGTCCTAATATAAAGGCACACTGCCAGTCCGCGAAACATGTGCCCTTGCAAAAGAACACTCCGCCCATGCATTGATGCAAGGCACAAAGGCGTGAGGCCGCTCTCGTCTGCCTTGTCTTTGTCTGCCCCTGCCTCGGTCAGCACACGTACCGCTGTGGCATAGCCATGCGTGGCGACCAGGAAGAGGGGCGTCTCCAGGCGTCCGTTAGAGGCGTCCTTGTCTGCCTTGGCCTCCGCTCCGGACCCTTCCACTAGGTTGGCTCTCGTGCTATGAGGGACGAAACCAGCTCATGAACGGTCCTACCCAAGCCCCAATGAAGCCCGAGACCATGAAACACGTTGGATCTCTGCCTATGTCTTACGCCCGCCTGCAAAAGCAGCTGCATTACCTGCAGGTGGCCGTTCTGCGTGGCCCACAGCAGCGGCGAGAGGCCCTCGCTATCCGCCGAGTTCACATTCGCCCGTGCCTCCAGCAAGCAGCGCGCCGCCTCCCGTGGCATCCAGCTGACTCGGCCAACCACAATACCAAGAAATTGAGAAGGTTGAACGGCTTAGGCCCCTCTTCCCAAACACAAGCCTGCCAGCTGCCCAAAGGAGCTGTTGGTTGGCCCTTGCGTTCCTGGCTAAATGCTGCACTGAAGGGCGTGCTTCCGGATTCCGGCCTCCAAATGATTGTTCTCGGAAGCAGCCACCAGGGCAGTCTTGCCAAGCTGGTCCTGGGCAACTGCCCCCCCCCCCGCCCGAAAATCCAATGTCTCCTCATTAAGTCCCTGGATAAGCTGCAATAGCTTGTGTTATCCGTGAGTCACGCAACATTCCTTGGGTGCCATAGAGGCCTCAACTTCACGCTGCATTCCCAGCTCTTTGGAAGTAGCTGCCTAGCTTCGCATTTCAAACGAGCGTCGCAGTGCTCTAGGTCGGCATCTGCTTTGTAAAGCAGCTCTGCCAGGCCTGAGTTGACACATCATTCACGCCGGCGTCGCATGTAAAGACAGAACCTGCCGCAGCCTTCTGCCTGCGTCCTGCCATGCGTTTCCAGCTAGTTTTGTCACGAACGCCCAATTGCATCTCGAAAGGTTCCTGTGGAGAAGCAGAGCCACGTCTGAAGAATGCGAACCTATTTGTGATATAGAAGGCTCTCATCCGGCAAACCGGTGCCCCAGCAAAGCAAGGGTTGCATTTGCTGGCTTTGTTTCTTGGGAGAGTCAACAATGCCGAAAGTGCTTCCAATTCAAGACGCAGCTCTCAGGAAGCCAAACACAGTCTTGAAGTAAACTGACGCAAACTGCATAGGCTAGCTTACAGGCACTGCATGACGTATGTAAGCGCTGCGAGCAATGGCACTGCAGGCGTCACAAGCACCGAGGCAAATACTGCCCTAGCTCTACAACTACTACGTGCTACAGGTACTTGCAAGCGCTGCGAGCACTATTGTAATTTTTGCAGTGATGAATGTAAGCCGCGGTCAGAATAACTTGTTTCCCCGAGAGTACCGACTCCCTTGGTCTTTATTGTAAATTTGACGCGTCCACATGCCCCTAAATGAATCGTTAACCACTGGCAATCCTGATCGAACTTGAGTCCTCTGGGCGGTGGCTGAGGCGCTGGTGCTGGTGCTGGTGCTGGTGCTGGTGCTGGTGTTGGCGCTGGTGAGGCTGGTGTTGGTCCTTTCCCACCATTTATCACCGACACCGACCTCACCGGGCCGCCCCCCGCCCCAGTCCCTCTCTCACACTTTCCGACTTCATTCTCGCCGCCTGGCAGCTGTGTAGCATTCCGGACTCGCGCCCACCCTCATCAACGCGACTCCACAACCAACTCTCCCCAACTCTTGGCTCACGCTCAACAACCCGCGGGTCCGCCCCTCTATCCATCGGTCAGCCGCGGGGCTTGCGTGGCCTGCGGCGCAGGCCTTCCACAGAGGCGCCTGTCCCAGGAAATCGGTGCAGTTGGGGTCCTGCAGCTGGCGCAGCGCCTCGGATTGCTTCGAAAGCCACGTTTGGCACATTCTCCCCACGCGCCTTGTCTCCGTTCGTTGGTGTGTGGTTCAGGATATGGTGCTTGGCTGGCCATGAGCGCTTGAGGCTGGAGATCCTGGCTCTCCCGCCTGCAGGGCCACCTCCTGGTCCCCCGCGTATGCAGCTGCCAGGAGCTCAGAAGCGAAGTCATGGACGTGGAGGGCGAACATGATCTGAATCTCCTGGCATCCGATGCGTCGCATGTCCATAGGGTGGCAAGGGGGCATTCGCCTGGTTGCGCCATGTCTTGAGCAACTAGATCCCAGGCTCTCATACGCTGTGGGCACAATACAACACAAAAAACAAGCACGAATGCACAGCAAGGTCGATGTGTCACGCTGACTACTTCGGAAAGCTTCAACATCCCCCCAATGTGCTGAATACGCTGATCTGTCCATGCTCCTGTGGTCGGCCAAGCTCTTCCCACATCTCGCCATCTGCGATGATGTGCTCTCCGTGCAGCAGTCGCTGCTGAAAAATCGAGACGCTCCTCGTAGGCAGGCGGAGGGATGGGTCCTTCAGATATGCAACTTTCTTGGGTCGGTGGGGCTGCCACGTTGGTGCTGCAAATGGCCTGGTCCAGTGAGGCCCTCCAAGACTATTGCTTGCTCCCCTCAGGTGGACCCCAGAAAAGGCCGAAGCGTCGGATTGAAATGACCCTGTGCAAAACGCATGCCAACGTCCACCGTTCAATGCTTAGAAATCCGAGACCAAGGCAATAGCCTAGCGGTGTCTCGATTTCGTGAGCGGCAATGACCCTCTGAAGCTTCCACGCCTCTGCTGGCGCACGCGGCTTTTCACAAAGGAGGCCAAGCTTTCCACTGCCAACACATCTGCCAACCTCGGGCGCGTTTTCGCGGGGTCCCATGTGAAAATGGGCCTAAGATAGCTTGAGTCAAGGGCCGTTTTCCCTGAAAAGCACCAACCATGTTGCAAAATGACCCGAAGGGGCGTTTATCGTGTTCCCAATGCCAATCACTCTAGGGCTACCTTCCCCATGCTTTCCAGGGATCCGTCTTTTCAGGAAACCATCAAAAACCCAGGGAAACAGTTGGTGTTTGAAAAGAACGATGGTTGAAAAGAATGGGGAATCAACCCCTAAAAACACCTTCGTCAATGTCTGCCATGCGTGGCGGCAGTGGAAGGCAATCAATGGCTGAACTCTGCAATTCCAGCTGGCAATCTTGCTTTGGGGCAATTCTTTCAGTGCTTTCTTGCATGCGAGGCTTTCCGATGCGAGCAGCTCCCAGCCAACCTCCAGAATGTGCTCCCCTGTGAAGGACACCACCCGCAACATCACGAGACATGAAGGCAGGCACGGCCATGTGGCAGCGAGATGGCTGGAACTGCAACTGGACCTCGCAAAGGAGTAACCCCCTTTCTGGCTCAATCCTAGGCAACTCTGAAAGCTCGACAGGCGTCTTTGCCGGACCATGTGGTAATGATTTGTACGCTTCCTCCAACAGCTCTCAGCTTCGAGCCGTGAACCCCACGCGGCTTCATTGCGGCCAACAAAACAGCGGGAGAGGTACGTGCGACAACAATTCACCATCCGCAAACCGGCTGGGCGTACTGATGAGATCCGGCAAAAATCCTTAGTCAGAAAGTGTTGTACGTCAGTGTCCAGAAGATTTCCTCATTGGCCCTGAAAGGGCACTAAAATATTGGCCATACTCACAGAACCTACCGCTTGGCAGCATCTGCGCCTTCAAGTGGTCAAGTGCAGCGGCCACGTGCGAAGGTTCTGTTTTGGCCCTCTGTTTTTGCTGTGTAAGGCACCTAATCTTGCCCCTCGTCCATTCTGCTGTCTCCGAGTCTGCGCCCCCTCCCAGCAAAAACATCGCACATAAACCCCTGACAGAACAGTGCATTCGCGGCTGGGGTGAGCTGTACCTCTCTCCAAGGCAGCCGCCGAACTGGGCGAAGCTGTGCAAGATCATCATGGCCCGCCTCAGGCTGACGCGCTCAAGAGCGAGGTCGAGGCTGCGAGCCTGGGCCCCGTGCTCCCACGGGCCGCCTGCGCAGGCGCCTCGCTCCGGGTTTAGTGCCATTGCGCATGCGAGGCATGCGGGGCTGCGGCTGATGGCAGAGTTCAAGCCAACGGCGTCCACCTGGCGCACGGGGACGGGGAATGGGCCGGGGTTGGGCGAACTTTCCTCGGACCGTGCCTGCGACCTGCGCTGCCGCCCCAGCTCCAGCAAGGTCACAGCCAAGTCCTCAAGATCAAGCCATCCCAGAGGCAAGAGTCTTGCGTGAGATCCCCTGCTGCAAAACATGGCCGCTTTGCGGTTCCCTTCGGCGAGCGCTGTAACACTCCGGGTGACTTGTTGCATCCTGTACCGCCTCACAAAAGTCCATACATGTTCCAGGAAGGCGTACAATGGTTTTACTTCTTGCAAGCCGAGCAATTACAACATGCCGTCCCCCTCAGGTCTGTCGCTCAAACCGGGGACTGCCAACTAGCCCAACACCATTCTGCGGCCAGGAGCCCCAACCCATCGTTTTGCCGTATCGCAAGCAGCCGCCGCAGAGTTGCGATGGAGCTGGTCGCAAACATCCTCGCAAGTGTTTGCACACACACACACACACGTACCCAAGTATGCTCATGGGACTCAACCCAGGAGGAAAGTTCATGTTCTTGCGCTCTCGCTTTTCAGGTTGGTGAACTATTCGCCAATGAGGCATCTGTGGAGCTTCCAACTCACGAGTGATGTTGAAATCTTACACATGTTAGACCCTGCAGCATTCCACGCGAGCGTGTGCGAGCGTTTCGTGCGCGCGCTCGTATCTTTAGTGCCCGCGCAGAAGTTCGGCAGGCCAAGCTCCGAGGGACCATTCTCTTCCGAAAGTCTTCGCCTCCAAGTCGCTCAGCACTTGAAAGGCCTCGCCCCAGCCTCAGCCCGGATGTCGCAGATCCATGTAAAAAACGGGAAGTTCGATGGGTACCCTCCCAAGGTCGGGAATGCGATGCAAACTAGGTACGCGGCACCTCCAAGATCGGACTTTTAGTGATTTTTGCGAGGCTGTTCGGGTTGGAGGGGAGGGGTTGGCGGTGGAGGGCTTTTCCGAGGACTTGCTGGCCCGGCCGCATGTCCGTAGTGCTCCAAAACTGGGAAGTATGATTTGATTTAGCATGCCTAACCTTCAACAAAAGCATGGAGCTGCATACTCAAAAAGGAAATGCTTTGCTGCATGTTCAAGAGAGGCACGCACTGCACTTTCCAAATCATGACCACACATCCATGAAATGCCTGCTTCAGAACTGAAGTCACACCCGCGCCAGTGTCACTAAAGTTGCAATGCTTGTCCTCCCGAAAAGCAACAGCCTGGCTGCCAGCGCTACACAAGCTGCAGATAGGGTCCCCTCTAGAAAGACTACAAGGTGGAGAGCTCTATGGGTTTCAAATTGGGCCATTCTACTTAAGCATTGGGGCCCCCGGGGCTTTGACAACTAGAGGACGATTGGCCCGAAAGCATTTCTCCACAGGTGCTCATCCCTCAGCGTGTATGGTCACATGAGAGCTCCATCTCATCATCCTACTTTCCTCTCGAACTGCGCCGCGCGATTTCTCACGAAAGTGGTCTGCGCAAGCTGCATTGTTCCAGGCTGCTGCGCGCAAGTTGCTCTCTGCAAGCTGCTGCACGCAAGTGCTCTGTGCAAGTTGCTCTGCGCAAGTGCTCTGAGCAAGTTGCTCTGCGCAAGTGCTCTGCGCCAGTTGCTCCGCGCAAGCGCTTTGCGCATGTGCTCTGTGCAAGTTGGTCTGTGCAAGTTGCTCTGCGCCAGTTGCTCCGTGCAAGCGCTTTGCGCATGTGCTCTGTGCAAGTTGCTCTGCGCAAGTGCTCTGAGCAAGTTGCTCTGCGCAAGTGCTCTGCGCCAGTTGCTCCGTGCAAGCGCTTTGCGCATGTGCTCTGTGCAAGTTGGTCTGTGCAAGTTGCACTGCGCAAGTGCTTTGTGCAATTGCTCTGTGCAAGTTGCTCTGCGCAAGTTGCTCTGCGCAAGTGACTCTGCGCAAGTTGCTCGGCGCAAGTGCTGCCGGAGCTGTGGGAATGTACTTCGCGTACTATTTTTGTACTTAAAAGTTGCGAGTTTCCAGCCGGAGCTGCGGGGGTGTGCTCCGCGTACTACGTTTGTACTCAAAAGCTGCGATTTTCCAGCCTGAGCTGCGGGAGCACGCTCCGCATACTACGTCTGGACTTAAAAGTTGCGATTTTCCAGCCGGAGCTGCAGGAGCACGCTCCGCGTACTACGTTTGTACTTAAAAGCTGCGATTTTCAAGCCGGAGCTGCCGCGGACAAGGGGGGAATCGAACCCGCGACCGCGGGATTGCGAAAGCAGGCGCGCAAACCACGAGACAACTTCCAAAGGCCGTTTCGCGAGCAAGAAAATTGCACGGCGCCACAGCGAGAGCGCTTCGACACGCGCAATCTCCGCAGAGGATTCGCCGAGACTAAGACAAATTCGCACGGCGCCACAGCGAGAGCGCTTCGACGCGCACGATCTCCGCAGAGGGTCGCGCGCGGCTTGCAGAAATCGTAAAAAGGCCTCAGTTTTTGCACCTCGACCACGCGAATCTCCGCAGACGGTCGCGCGCGCATGTTAAAAATCGTAAAAAGTCCTCAGTTTTTGAACCTCGACCACGCGAATCTCCGCAGAGGGTCGCGCGCGCATGTTAAAAATCGTAAAAAGTCCGCAGTTTTTGAACCTCGACCACGCGAATCTCCGCAGAGGGTCGCGCGCGCATGTTAAAAATCGTAAAGTCCTCAGTTTTTGAACCTCGACCACGCGAATCTCCGCAGAGGGTCGCAATCCCGAGCGATGATCAAACTCCCGCCCCGGCGCCTTGGAAACCTAAACTAACTTACATAGCTGCTTACGCCGAAGCTCTACGCAAGCTCTACCTAACCTTGGCTCTGTGCCACCTGGCTCTGTGTCAGTTGGCTCTGTGCCACTTGGCTCTATGTTGGCTCTATGTAACTTGCTCTATGTAACTTGGCTCTGTGTAACTTGGCTCTATGTAACTTGGCTCTATGTAACTTGGCTCTATGTAACTTGGCTCTATGTAACTTGGCTCTATGTAACTTGGCTCTATGTAACTTGGCTCTATGTAACTTGGCTCTATGTAACTTGGCTCTATATAACTTGGCTCTATGTAACTTGGCTCTATGTAACTTGGCTCTATGTAACTTGGCTCTATGATGTAACTTGGCTCTGTGCAACTTGGCTCTATGTAACTTGGCTCTATGTAACTCTATGTAACTTGGCTCTAGGTAACTTGGCTATGTAACTTGGCTCTATGTAACTTGGCTCTATGTAACTTGGCTCTATGTAACTTGGCTCTATGTAACTTGGCTCTACGTAACTTGGCTCTAGGTAACTTGGCTATGTAACTTGGCTCTATGTAACCTGGCTTTGTTCAACTTGGCTCTGTGCAACTTGGCTCTGTGTAACTTGTCCAAGGGCTCCGCACGGAAGAACCCTTGGCGATGCTTTCGGGAAAAACATTTATATTATTGCATAGGAGCACCGGCCTTTACCATCAGGGAGGATGTTGCCATGAACAGCCTTCAGGAAAATCGCAGTTCGTCTTCCGGGGGCCTCGGCTTCGGGAGGTCATCGGCTTCGGGGAGGGAATTCGGCTTCGGCTCCGAATTAGTCGCGATTCAGCCTGTGTTGGGAATTCGTCCTCGACAATTCGCCTTCGCAACTCGTCTCCGAGAGGATTGTGAATTCGGGGGGAGAATTCGTCTTCGAGAATTGGGCTTCGCAACTTGTCTTCGAGAGGAATTCGGCTTTGGGGGGGGGGGGGGAATTTGGCTTCGGAAAAATTTATGTGTCTTTGCGGCTCCTTTTTACTTCTGAGAGCCTTGGGCGAATGCGCCTTCGGATTTCGTCTTCGTCTGCCAGTGGAAAAGCTCTCCTCCCCCAGCGGCCACAATGTGAATTGCAGCACTGAAAGAAGTGCACATCCAACCTTGCATTGGGTATCATGGCCGTTCGACATCCGCATGGCCGCATACCGAAAGACAAGGTGCCGCTGAACCGGATGAAGCGTGCAACGCAGTGCTCTACTCCCATGCTCGCTCGCTGCTTTCTTGCCGCAAGTCGCTCACAGGTTCTTTGCAGTCTTGGGCACTTGCAACATGAAGGCCTACGTCATCTAGCTACTCGAATGCTATAGTCTATGTAAACTGTTGACTGCATGATGCGTTTCCTCAAGATGGATCGGAGAGCCTCGACTTGCCACTGCTCCGCTGCAAAACGCACCATGCTGCTCTTGGCGCTACATCTTTTCAGACTCTCAAGAAGTGCCTCCAAGATGGACAGGAAAGTCTGCCATGTCAATACTGTCAGCGCGGACCAGCGCTCGCCGCCTGTGCAAACCCCTGTTGAGAAGGATAAAAGCATCGTCTCGCCTACAACAAAAAATATGCTATGCCATCCTGCCCAAGAATGGAACTCAAGAGCTCAGCCTTTGTGCAAAAGGCACGCGACGTATGCCGTGCGACGCCATCAGCAAAATTGGCAAAAACGAAGCAAGCAAGGTGACGCCAGGTGGGGGCCTCCAAACATGGTGAGCACCCAACGCCTTTGCACACAGCACGACTCGGGATTTTAGACTGTGCCCAGGACATCTCTGAAGTCGACTAATGTACTTTTTGATTTGCCCAAAAGCGAGACTGCATCAAGCCTCTCCGGCAGGCTTTTTCCAAGCTCTGGCACAACACACCCGCCTCAGCCATGAGAAAACTTGCAGCTGGTGCCATATCTGCAAGCGCCCCGCTGGAATGCCCTTGGCTCAAGGCAGCTGTTCCAGGTTCTTCACTGTGCCCTCTGTAGCTTCAGGCAGCTTTCCGGTCCCTCGCTTACTTGGGTTGCGCTTGCGCCTACCATGGCTGGCAATACGCCGTATTCAATGCTGGTGTGTCTCTGTGTGTGTGTGTGTGTCTGTGTGTGTTGTCTGTGTGTGTGTGTGTTTGTGTGTGTGTGTTGCCAGGACAGCCAGAAATGCAGGCATGGTTGTTTTTGAAGGTGGCATTTATGCCTATCCTCAAGGGTGTGGCTGTTGGCGAAAACCAGACTCGGCCCCTTCCGCTAGGCGCCATTCACTGCCAAGGTTCCGGCAGGCCCGGGTCACATCCAAGTCTCTGCCTCTGCCTTTGCCTTTGCCTTTGCCCTGCAGAGCGAGGCAGCAACGTCCACTTTCACATGTCTCTCCACTGATTCTGGGCCTTGGCATCCAAGCCATCTTTGCTTTCCAGCATGGGTGGCGAGAGCGGCTCTTCAATCGCCAGGCCACACAAGCCCCACCTTGGCCACCATATCACATGTGCAGCTTCCAGCCCTCAGCCTCAATGAGCCTCTCCGTGTCATTGAAGAAACTGTCCAGTGCGAAGTTACAATATGGAGTCAGTCCGTTCACATGATGTGGCCCCGAGTGAATACACAAATAGCTCTTGCCTCAGATTCAGCGGTGCCTTGGACCTGCTTGAGAGTGCATCCGCGCCACAAAATGATGGAGATGCGGCCTTTGCTGCTTTGCTGGTGCGGCGGGACAGCATTCAGGCCATGCCTGGTGGCGGCAATGAGGACAGCACATGCCAAAGTGCGGCGCTTCGGCACTAGCGTGGGAGCAATCATCCACTCGGAGATCCACAGCTTTTGGGCGCAGTCACGCTCAGAATTTTATGGCGCGGTGCTGCCACCGGATGTTCACATCACGGCCAAAGAAGAGAAGCATGCCGTTGGTCTGCGGGAAGCAGATCAGGTCACCAGACTTGGTGTGCTTGAAGCCAAGTTCCCGAGAAGCTCCCAAAGACACGCCCACCGTACCTTGGAGGATGGTGCACGCTTAAGGCGGTCTGGCTGAGGGCCTCAACACTTCGGCCGAACCGC